AATTCCAGGGGGCGCTATGGAGCCAAAATTTTGAGGACTAGCCTGTGACCGTTGCAAAAGTAAGTCACCTCCCAAATTTTGCGAGTTTGTGCTTTTGGGGGAAATCATTCAAAAACATTTTATACTTGGGCCCTAACAATGTCTCTGATTTCAAACAGCAGTTCTTTTCCACGATTGTTCTCCAAAACAGAACAGCACCTCCACAAACTACCTGGACTTTCTAAAAATAGTGACGTTTGTTTCCCATCCCACTTCCTGTTGTCTAGTAGAACAAAACATTTGTCTGTTTGCTGAGAAGAAAACAACAACAATGGGGGTGGGGGGGGGATGCTTTTCATGTTTCGAATGATGATTGAGATCGCAGGATCTCGGATCGGTAACATATGCCCGAAGCCAGACGTGACAAATCAGCGGCGGAAATAATGACGGTGAATAATTGTTGAACAGCTGCGATTTCACGCCCGTTGAAACAGATATGGATCGCCAGCACATTGTTTGAGGCGAGTTGAGATGATAAAGTGCCGTCAGGGCGGGTCACTCGCTCGTTTATCGCCCTCTCCATCACTGAATTAGTGAGTATGAAAATCAATGCGGCCTCAATTGATTCCAGCACACGTAAAATGCTGATTCGGCGATGTGAGCTAATTTCTTTATTAGCCAATCGCCAGCCGCTGTAGCGAGCGTCAAGATAAAAGTAATTATGGTCAGTCAGAAAGGTTGTCTGCTTTATTATTCTAATTTGAACAAAAACACACTTTATTCTTAAGTGTCACTGTTAAAAATGCGCATCTCATTAAGTGGCAAAACTGCATGTCATTTTTTAAAGCAAAGTTGTTGGTCTTAGCTCAATGTAACTTGGTTACTTAAAAAAAAAATCAGCACAGTAACTAGTTAAAGCGAGTAATCCATTAAGTAACTCGTTTACATTTTCAAGGTAACTGTCGGAGTACTGGTTACATGTCACTGGTTTTGTAAAGCAACTTGTCTTGCTGAAATTGTGGAAGTTTTCAAATAATTGACGACCGTTACAATCACCTGAAATACTTTTTAATTTAATTTAATTTTTATTTTTTTATAGCTGTTCATTTTGTAATAACTGATGTCACTGCGGCCTCCGGTGCTCACGTTTCCAACCTGACTTCCCATCCTTGATCCATACAGGAAACAACATTGGCACTTCCTGTGGTGTGGATTACCAAAACCAAGCGATGCCCGGCGGGAGGGAAGGCGACTCCACTCCCTCAACTAGCCAGACCGCCATTACCCTGCGGCTTTTGGCCTCCAATAAAAGTGTCAGCCGGCATCTGCTTCATCCGCACATAATGACACGGGTGTGATTGACACGCCATTGCAAGATGTGGCGTTCAAGCGCCGCGGGAGATGGAGGTAAGGAACACAACACGACAACACACTTTCGAAAAGGAGCAAACCATTTTGTCAGCGCGCGCCTTGTGTTTCAAAATGCTGGAAAACGAGATGTGCTCATCTCTAATTTCAGAAGTGAGGGCTGTGAAATTACTGAATCGGGTGATTAGTCGGTCGGGCTGCGTGCCGGCAGATATCACTCACTAAAATGTAAATTGCAAGGTTATGCCTGTGTTTCTCGGATTTTGATGTGTTGCAAAAAGTTAAGGAAGATGTTTGTCTTTTTGTTTGAACTCCTCAACGACTCGAGCAAGATTATCATGAACAAAAACTAACAAAATGACCAAAAAAAAAAAAAAAAACACGTATTTGACCATGAAATTAAATTTATGTAAAAAACTAATCCTAAAGCTAAGCATTTTAAATGTGGGACTAGTCAAAACTAATAAACCTGCTCTTAAAAAAATTTAAAACTAATTGAAATTAAAACAACAAAAGCAAAAACTACATTTCATGAAAAAAAACAAAAATCCCCAAATATTATAACCCAGGGCAAGACAGGAAGGAGAACAATCGAAACAAGTCGCCTTCTTGTTATTCTTATGACACCATTCGGGAAGTAAGCTTTGACATGATTGACCAAATATGGTTGGTTCTATGAGACGATTAAAGGTCAGTCTTGTTGTCTGCTTGAGAGGGGAAAAAATGTCATCTGTCGCATTTGACAATAAAGTTGTACTTGACTTGACTTGAAAAGGACTGTCTGAAATGTTTGCCCACAAGCCAGCATCTTGCTCTCTCATAATAGATGATCAGGAATTTTGTTCTTTGACTTTTGATGCTTCGTATTGAATGATCAGACCAGCTCGTAGTCCGGAACCGTTTTCCTGTCGGACATATTTTTAGTTTTATAGAAGCTCAGTCATTGTATTTTCTCATCTGTGCTCCCCGCTACTTGACTACCATGCGATATTCGCTTAATGCCACGGCCGCCATTAAGAGGTGCTCGAAAGGCTGCGACGGATGTCGTCCGCGCGCATCTGATCGGATGCCGTGAAAATTGTTTCGTATGTCGTTTGGACATGAGGATGCGATTGCTTGCTTCTCAGCATGCGGTGCTGCCGACCGGCAGCAGGAAAAAAATAAGAATAAAAATCTGTCGCTGCAAGCGAAGAGCACTTCCCTGCACGGGAATATGAAGCGGGTTCACAAAATCCATGCTTATCTCCTTTTGAGCTCTTAAGGTTTCACATGGGAGCGCTCTTGTCATCAATTTGGCAAAGAGGCGCTTTGGCGCCAAATGGACGCCGCGCCGCGTTCGCCCCGAGGCGGAAAATAAATGACGGCGCTCACAATGGGCGCTTCTCAAAGTGGGTCAAACTTTGCGTTCTTTTTTTTTTTTTTTTGAGGCCATGATGCGTTTTTGGCTGCGAGCGGCAAAGGACAAAAGCTCCAAAGAGAACCTGCGAGAGCTTCCTCACTGTGAGCTTTTAACGCTGGCTACAGCTGTCAATCATCCACCCGTTGGGTTTGGCGCTCTTCTTAGGTCTTTTGAAAATTCATTCCCGGAGGCCGGGTTACCTTGGCTACCTGAAATTTGGTTGGCTCGTCTCCAGTGACTGTTAATTTTGTTCATTTATGGGCTCCATCAAAGACAAGCCTCAGAGGACACTTTCAGTTAACATGAACCTTGGTAGGCATGTCTTTCCTGAAAAGACCCACAAAAAAAAGCCTCCGTGAATTAAAGAGATCATTTTCCTGAGAGGACCCACAAAAAAAAAAAAAAAGCCTCCGGAAATTGAAGACATGATTTAAAAAAAAAAAAAGCCTCAGGAAATTGAAGACATGATTCAATCTCGTTCCCAGAGGTCCTTGAAAGGTCTCCTCGCAGCCCCTGAAGACAAGTAACTTAACAATGAACTTTGGTAGGCATGTCTATCATGAGTAGACCCACAAAAAAAACTGTAATTTGCTATGAATGTCTATTTTAGCATCATTTTGGCATCATTTTTCCAGGCATCTTTCGAAGAAACTTCTCCCAGCAACCAGATTTAACTCAACTACATGCTATTTGGTAGGCACGGCTTTCATGATTATCCCACCAAAAAAAAGTCTCCAGGAGCCACTGAAATTTTAATTTCAGTGGCAATTTTAGGGTCATTTTTAAGACGGATTAGAATCACGTGCACGAGACAGATGGACACCGCGAAATCCCAATCGAGAATTTAAAAGTTTGTATGGCAGCCCGACAGCAAATTTTGATGGGCTGCTTTAGATTGCAATAAAGAGAGTTTCAAATAAATGTCAGATTTCAATCTGAGGGGAAGGGGAAGTGGGTCGAAAGTGCTTTATTTGGGCCCCGAATCAGCCACGTTTGATTGAAAGTGTCTGTCTGTGTCTTCCACTCATAACCGACTGCTCTTTATATAGCTTCAAAAAAAAACTTGCCTTCACAAGAAACCGACTTACTCATCGCCGCTGCAGTTGCAGCCCGAGGAGAATAAAAGAGAATACAAGTTGAGTCGCTTAGATAGAATATGATCCGCAAATATCTTCTCCTCTTCTTCTCTTCTCGCCTTTGACCTGCCGCGCATTTGCACTTCAATGGGGATCTGCTGCACCCCCTGGCAGCCTTTTTTTTTTTTTTTGCGGGGAGGGGAGATTCTGCCAGTCCATCCCCAACAGTGCGCATTTGAAGCATGACACAAAGAGGAGCCTCAACGTCCTCTTGATGGACGAACGGCTTGAAATCATGCGTCCAAAGTCTTCAAACGCTGCTGCAGCTTCGAAGCAAAAAAAAAAAAAGCATTAGCATGACTTTAGAGGCAGTAGATCCAAATTCCAAAACGTCTTTATATTTAATACAAAGCGGTGATTCGATTACAATATCTTGAACACAAAGACCATTGAAACGCGATTTTTTTTTCCTCCTTTTTTGGGGTCTCAATGTCAAAGTTGCGCATCAGTCATGATAGTTTTTTTTATAGTTTTTTTGATAACTGAGTTAAGAGTCACACATTTCTCAACGAGCTGTGTGAAAACAAGTTCTCTTTCGCGCGGATGAATTTAGTGTGGAAGAACAAGCCGTTCCTGCCCAAATACTTTTGCTATTGTGGTAAAAAGAAGCATTGCTGATTTTTTTTTTTTCATTTCTGCAGTAACATTCAGTTCCGCATATTTTTGGCCTGATCTCCAAAGAGTCACGAAATATTCCGTCTTTCGATATAAGCACCACACCAGAGAAGTTTTACTTCTGGCTTTGTTTTTTTCCCGTTCTTGAATAGTCTGCAGTAGAGAATGGGTTGTTTTCACCAAAAACGCAGGTTTCTGACCAAAAAAGCAGAGAAAACGTTTTTTTTTTTTTGTTTTTGTTTTGTTTTTTTGTGTGTGTGTGTGTGTCTGTGTGAGATAAGAAATTTGTCAAGCAGGACAGCGATGACCCGTCAGTTTGAATCCGCATGACGGCACCAATTGAAACCTTTTCACCCGATCCTTTTTATCATTAATCCTTGCAAAAGTATGCAACTAGCATTCCGCTTCATGAACAGAAACATCCCCGGCAGTGATTGAGTTAAGAATTCTCCTGTGTAGTTAAATTTGTTGCGTTGCAGGTAAATTCGCCGCAAATGCCGACCCCCCCCCCCACTCCCCACCCCGCCATCCAAGCCAGAAGACGGTCCT